CATGGCTTTTTCAGCAAGCGGGTCTGGCCTAGGGAGAATTTTAAATAGGGACAATTTTAATTAGAATTTTAATTAACACAGCGGTAAATATTTGTTTTTAATTGGTTTTTATTGGGGATAATGTTTGTGTTGTTTTAATATGCTGTGAGCCGCCCTGAGTCCTGTTGGGAGAAGGGCGGCATATAAGTTTAATTAATAAATAAATAAATAAATAAAGGTGCTATTTGAAGTCCTAATTAAAGTTTCATTGAGGAATCTCAGCAGAATTCTACTGAAGTTATTATCCCTCTCACAGAACACTATGAGAGAACTTTACAAGTTCTCTTTCCCCATTACAATTGCTTGCATTTCCAGAAATGTATATCAAACTGGTTCTTGAGAATATAAATCATGCCGAAAGGTACCCCTATTTCAAGTTGGTTACAATGCACACCTAACATCCCAAAGATGCTTTTTCACGAGGCAACTGGACTTTCTTGTTGTTGTTTTTTCTTTGAAGATGTTTAGCTTCTCATCCAAGAAGAGTGGCCTTTGCAGTCCATCTACATTTAAAAGACAAAGCCAGCAAAGTCCACATTTTGGACAGAGAGGACCGCTGGTTTGAAAGAGGGGTCAAAGAGGCCATCTATGTCAAAATTGAACAGCCTTCTCTCAACAGAGGGGGAGGGATCCGACATCATCTATCTCCAGTCTAAAACATAGTCCTTTCAACAGTTCCAAGAAGGCTCCACACCCATTTGCACTACTCAGGTGACCCTGAAGACACAGATAAGCCTCCAGGCAGCTTTAAGAACTGGCTAAAAGAATGCAAATGAACAGCTGTCTGCAGGAGTATAAATCTTTCCATTCCCCACCATCCAGTCAGAGCTGAAGAAATTTCTTGGATGAGAAGCGAAACATCTTAAAGAAAACAAAAACAACAACAACAACAACAAGAAAGTCCAGTTGCTTTGTGAAAAAGCATCTTTGGGATAACTATGACCTGGAGGACTGAGAATCTCCATAGACATTTAGCTACCAACCTAACAGATCATTAAAGCTGGGCCAAGGATGAATGACAAAAGAGATTGCCAAAGATCAAGAAACAGGAAAAAGCAAGCTGAATATCAAAACAAACTATGGAACAGAAGCCAAAGCCCAAAAGGCAAACATTTCTGAAAGGAACTTAGCAGAGTTTCATAGAACTATTAGAGATAAGAAGCAATATTACAACTCTGAACACAGAAACACTGAATATGAAAAGCAAAAAACAAATCACTTAAATGAGGAGGTTTGGATTACGATGGCAAT